TGGCCAGAAAAACCTTTAATTAATTTTTTTTTTTGTTCCTAACTACATCTTTTGGAAAAAAATTTAAAAATCATTCCGTCCCAAGTATATACACTACAGCAGGCTTCTATGCTAATTTCCCACTCTTCCTTATATCTCCCATAGAGAAAACAAATTTAAATCTTAGAAAGTTATTTGTGCCAGTGGAAGTCAATGATTTCAATATTTAGACAAAGTTAACACAACCAGAAATGACCTGCTGTTAAGACAAATCATAAGTGAAGACTAAGAGTTTATGCAATATTTTACCAGGTTGCTATAAAGTCTCTTAGATCTTTCTCCTACGTTTGTAATTAGTCCAAAATAAAGAGATGTCATTTTAATCATTCATGACTGTAGTGAAAGCAGTCTAGATTTCGTGATCCACACAACATTAAGAGAAAATCTAGTCAAATGCCTGCCTACTTAGATCACTTTAATTTATGCCTTAGACCAAGTGACAGAGTTTCAGAAAGAACAGGCTTCTGAGTCAGGCACCCTTTTATGGAAGCAGGGGATAAGCATCAGCGGCTGTTCCAAAGAGACAGTTTTAAGATAACCATTGCTTTGTCAAAGACCTAGTCCTTAATAAAGGGATTGGGGGGGAGGGGAGCAACAGAAACATGGAAGAGGACAAGAACGAAAACAGGAAGAAAGTTAAAAAAATGTAAAGGAGAAAATACATCCAAAACCAAACATTAAAAAAGGTGGGGAAATACCTACGAAGCTCCAGCTAGTTTTACAAAATCCATGATGTTTAAGTATATTTTCATTTCACGACTGGATTCACACTGCTTAGGGACAAGAACTTTTTGCTTGAATTCTAGCACTCACTGAAATGACATCTCCACTAGAAAGTGCTGTTGATAGCATTTGTCCTGGCATACAGTTGCCAGTACGTCAACAAAAACGTGTGCACAGCAGGCTGACGGGGAGGACTTCCTAAAGCAGGATGTTGCATCAGCAGAAGACGTATGGATAAGTGCAGCTATGCATATTCTCACAGCATTTGTATCACACTAAGGGAAACTAACAGCCCCTTTAAAAAAAGAGAGGCGCTTTACAGCAATGTTCCCAGTGCTCCATCACATCATCGCCATATTGCACAGATAACACTCCTGGTTCCTCTGGTGCACTTCCATAATCTGTTCTTCCACATGGCAATTTTTGCTTTGTTAGCTCAATTTTTGACACCTGAATGCTGAGGGTTTTGGATGGTGAAATGAGCATCAAGTGATTGGATGGCAATGCAAACCTGGAATAGTCAATAATGACTGCATAACTTCCAGGTGCAGAAAACTAAGTACCAGTAACTGTCAGTTAAATTCACTGTATCTCAAAGACTCCATGAACCGCTTTGCGCATGGAAAAATGGATAATCATCATGTTCCACTCACAACGCCCTGCTGCAATCAGTCAGTAGAAAATGATTTGGGATCTGGAAAGCCTGGAGTGAAAGCTCTCACTATGTGGGCATGCGAGGTCTTCAACACACGTCTTGTTGCACAGGCTACTGACACTGGGCAATGCCTGACAAAAATACAAGCCTGTGAAAGGATGATCATCCACATCAGAGTGACATTTACAGCAATGATACATATCATGTTTCTAATTCTACTTTTTTTGCTCTACTGTATTGCCTCTCATTATGAAAACTGAAACTGCTCTTCTTTCCTAATTACACAAGTCCTGATGGACATCTGGAGAGGGAGACACATGATAATTTGCACCATGAACTTTATGACAAGGTGAATGCAGGGTCATTTTTCCCAGATCAATCTATTCCATTGGCAAGACTGTATTGTCAGAGATGCTCCTCGAGGATCCCTGGCTTTAAATTTAGATGACATACTCTGAGACCACCACAAAAAGATTGAATTGCCTCTCAGAACAATGAAGACCAATATCAGGGAACACACCAAAGAATGCCAACAATATGGATATTACAGACCCAAACATATCTATAGCTATTACAGTATGTTGTATTTTATCTGATACTTGCAATAGCATTAAATAAAAAGTGCAAGTATTACTGGCAGGTCAGAGAGTAAAAAGTATGGAGATACTATTTGCTGATTTGGAGAAGCCTGTTACAAGTGCAGCTTCCAGAGCACAATCAGATGCCATACGACTGAAAGAAGTTTTAAAAAAGGTGCACTTGCATATTATGCCGTAGTCATAGTAGTGCTTTGTGCTCTTGTGAACAAACAGGATTTGCCTGGTAAATTCATTTTACTTACTTTTTAATTAGAGGACAGAGAGCTACCAAGTAATATGGAGAAAAGGATAGATGGTCCTTATTTGTTTCGGAAGTTTAAATACGTAGTGATTTTCACCAAGAAAGGCTTAATACAGGTGGCAGGAAAGGGAAAAGAGGCTATCTGGTTTTAGTAGATAAAGGCAAGATACAGTTGTTAAGACAAGCTACACATCAATGTAGAATAGTTCATATTTCCATAGGGACAGAAAATAAACTATGTTTGTACTCTGGTAATGAGAGTAAGACACTATAGTTCCAGCCTGGGATGAACGATCTACGAAGAACAAAACAGGGACTGACAGAATTTAAGTCTGAGACTTTTATTCCATATTGCTTTCTAGTCTGAACTTGTTGCCTGAGAACTGTAACGCTGATTTGGTACTTATGTGTTTTAGTCTATCCTCGCTTTGATACTAGTGTGTTTTAGTCTGTCCTCATAGATCCATTTTCACATATATCTGCTTGTGACCACCACAGTAAAAGTTTCTGCTTTCCCTCACTACTTCTTCCTGCAAATCAAGGTTGGCCTTTCCACAGGTATGTGGATGGTGTGGCTCAAAGTGCAAGGCTTCATATAAACTCCATTCCCAACTAGATATATAAACTTAGCACACAGAGAACAATAAGGAGCAAAGTCTGAAGTTTTTCCTACGGAGATCACCAGAGCTAAGTAGAGACCTTCTTTGTTTCACTGGTGTCAACAGCTTCACATATCAAAAGTACTTTAGGGAGAATACCCAAGAAGAGCATTCCATAGTTGAGACCAGTGGAATGGGATTTGTCTGGGTCCTCAGCAGATGCCGTGCCAATTTAAACATTGTGAATTTATTATGAGCAGCAGCGATCCAAGCAGATATATTATTCATAAGGAAATCAAAGGCCCAAGTAAGAGGACCACATACAATTACTTGTTTCAGGTCTCTTCGCAGAGACAATTGCACCATGACTGAACTGTGCCAGCCAAGATGCTCTACAAACTGGTAGATAGCCAGACTAAAAAGCAACCAGATTTGTGCTTAAAGACAGACACTACAAGTTCAAGTAATTATATTTAGAGCATGAGATGGACTTACCAGAAGACCATTTATAACATCATATTTATGCTCAGCTGACAGGTCATTTGCATAAGGTCAGATAGGCTGAATGCAAGTTACTGGGCCTTATGAAAGGATCCTTTGCCATCTTTGTACATGCTCAGGTGCTACTTGAGATGCAACGTACATCAAGTCTTCTTGAACTTGGCCACTGGACTAACATTACAAAACTACAACCATCATACCAGCCATCTAGCCTCAGTCAGACCCTGGGCTTATAGAGAAGTCAGTGCTCAGTAACCTACATGGAATTTACAGTGCATAACTCTTAATATTACTTCCTAAATGTAGGTCATTAGAAAGAATGAATTGAAGGTGAGTCAGATGATCACTGAAACCAGCAGCAATGGAAAGGAGAATAAGAGAGAGAAGGAGGGAGAAAGGGAAGAAACAGAAAGGGAGGTTAAGTCCTTACAGGCAGAATGAATGAAAAAAAAGGAGAGGTGTACATGCATGTAATTGCAGTATAGCCTCTAAACACACAACTCCTACAGACAGAATAGTTCAGACCTTGCTTTAAGCTTGACTGTGTTGGTTCAACTTCATCTATAAATTGATGCAAGTTAAGCAGCTGTAAGCCCACATAATTTGGTTCAACTTGATACCACTACATCAATTTAACTAAAGTGATATAAACAGCAGGTTTAGAATCATGCCCCATTAAACTTTGGCCTAGCAGTAATTACTACCTGGGACCATGTTCTATCACCAGCATTTAAAAAAAAAAACCACAAAAAAGTCACTTACTGACAACAGATTAAAATGCTTTCTGAGGCAAAGACCAAAGCTCAGACCCTCCTTCCCCAGACACAGGCCCTGTTTGAGAGTCATGCTTATATGACGGAATGCTATGTAAGTGAAATCAAGCATGAAGGTAGATGATGTCCTACAACCAGCCTCACACAGCCTAGGTGGTGTTACACATAGGTGGATGCTCTCATTGTCAGATTATCTGTACTAAAGGAGCAGAAACTACTACCTGTAATGGAGCAATCCCTACTTCGAGTCCGACAAGACCCAGTTCTAAGGAGGTTTTCAAGGGTGTGAATCCCAAGCAGAAGCAGATATTTACACACTGATCCTCTCGACTGGAGGACAAATGCTTATGTCCTCACCTTTCACGTATGCCAGCTTAGGTAGTTCTCCAGCTCACACCGATTACCATTCTAAGGCATTGGCTGTTTCTTTTAAACAAGTAGCAAGTGTAGCTACTTAATTCACAGATGACAATCTTGTTTCCAGGAGTAAGTGTTGTAATGCTGAGTATCATAACATCTTTGTGCTTCCATTTGTGAATCTAGCTATAGATAGTAGGCCATCAACAAATTAAGAGTGTCAAACAATGCCAAACACCTAGGATAATTAATCCCCCAGTAAACATTTACATCCAATTCAGTGTTGAAAACAATACAAATCTACCCAGTACAAACCAAACCTATGCTGCGGCCAAACGCCACTTCCAAGCCTGCAAGAAGTCTGCCAAACAAGGCAGGACATTTGTACCATGAAAACCAAATTAAGTACAAAGCAGATACTGTAATACCATTCAGCTCTGAAACACTTGACAAGCTGGGTTTTAAAAAGGTACAGATTGGACTTTCTACAGTTAAGACACACAAACGCTAACATTGGGTTGCTAAATATATTGTTTATTTATAGTTAAACATTAGCATCTGAACAGAAACCTGCAAGCATGCAGGGATAATCTTTCAGTGATGTTTCTGTTTAAACTGAAGTCCACAGTAGCCGCATGTCCCGGTCTTTGTATCTTTGTCCTGCAAAAATATAAAAATACAACAGCTGCTAGTTTCACTTTATAGAACTTTCAGAAATTACAAATTTTCTCTTACTTATATGTGCCATCTTAAAACAGATCAATATAGCTGAAGTCCAGAGTTTAATCTTATTTGAAACACTGGAAGTAAGAATGATGGTATGAGGTTCATGCTTGATTTCTACATCCTACACAGCTTCCCTTCTGCCAGCCTTTTAACTACCAGGCCTAATCTCAACAATGTAATTTTAAAGTCAAGCCAAGTGATCTCTTCCGCAGTAACAGATCCTCTTACCAAACTGGACATCTTAAATCAGTTCGGTCATATCTGTTCCAATGTTCTGAAAAGATCATTTCATAATTATTTTAATACAGAATAGGATTTGGCATTTCCAAGTTATATCTAGACAGGAATTTTAGCCAGTAATGTATACTGACAGAGTTAGTTGAAGGAAGGAGGAAATCTCAGTAGGATTCTAGGAGAAATGCTGAAAGAAAACAGTTTAGAGAAAAGCAGCAATTACTACTGCATAAAATTTTATTCTTCTCTCCAAAAGATACACATAATTTTTTAAAATATAGAAGTGTGACTGACTGCAAGCTGTTGTTGTAGTCCTCCTTAATATGACAAAAGACAAGACAGTTAAATAAACACTAAGGGATCTTCTGTTATTTAGCAACATGACTATTTGCAGTCATGAAGTGAAGTAAACTCTTATTTCCCCTTCCTTAATACAGGATTAGAAGTGAAAAATCCAGATTACCCTCCACCCTGAAAGCCTGGATTCCAATTGTTAGAGCTAGGGGAAACAAGCTGGTCTAATACCATTCTCTCTTTGCAGACATTAGATTTCAATAACTAAATCACAGACGTCTTGTAATTTGATTGTTAACACAAAAAGACCTCAAAATTCACAAAATATAAAGCATTCCTCAAGAAGAGCATGGCACAGGTCAAACAAACATAAATGCAACTGATCAGCAGTGTGCTACAGGAGTTAACTGAAGGTTGAAGAACACAAGCTTCCTAAGTTTTACGAATTAGAACCTCCAAGCATTTGACTTTGAATAATGTAAAATGAATCATTATAAAATGCTTACTTCGTTCAAAATAGAAATGCTTGTGGTTATACTTAGGAGTCGCAACAACACTGACACTAAAGGACACCAGCTCTCTCCCACCATTCTTTTGGTATTAACCAAACGTCAAAGTTTAAGTGAGCAAGATTTTAAGACATCTGCAGTCAGGGTCTGCCCAAGAACAGTACCTAAGCAACAGGTCACCGTTGATTCCACCAAGGTCATACAACAGTAGCCTCAATATTCTTACTCTCTAGAATAAGAATACACTGAAAACTATCACTACTGTCAGGGTAAATACAAATATAAGAAGATACTTATTCTTCACCAATTCTCTGACCGTGATGGAAACTTTCAGTCTTCAGAACTACCAAGATTCCCAAAGACTGCAAGTTTTGTTTGTTTGTTTTTCTTGAACGTGCAGGATTCAAAATACATTTGCAATATTCTTAAGAATATTGCAAATGTATCCTCAGTCTACACAGTGGCATTTAAATAACTAGAGTAAGTTTCTCAAAACACAGCAAGCATATTATTTTTTGCTCACATGGCACTGCTTGCTCGTATTACTTCGTAGTTAATTTATTTTTTCCAAAAAAATTATTGCCTCATCAAACAAATCAAAATCAAGAGCAAGAAATGCCTGGTAACTTCAAACGGAAACCCTCTAGCTCTTCTGAGTAGAAATCTTAATTTTATATTAGGCACCAAATAAAATTAACACCTTGGGTGGTTAACCCTTTTACTGTGTTAAACTACCAAGCCAAAAAGTAGATGATCTTACAAACAAGAACTGACAGGCAAAACATTCTATATACAGATCAAAGATATTACCAAGTTTATGTAGACCTTAGGATGTCCCAAAGCTCCACCACCACCATCGCATGATATCACTCTGCTTTCAACTTCACTCACAGGCTGCTCTGCTATCAAATCAATCGCAAAATTCTTGTTCACCTGTAAGAGAAAAAGGAAGCTTTCAGATACCTTCCCCACACAAACAGAAAGCAATTGCTATGTACCGCCTCCCCAACCAGTTCCACCACAGCCATCTTGAGAAGTTCCTGCATATGTTTCCTCCCACCTCCTCCACCAATTCTTAGGCTGTGCTGTAAGCCAGATCAGTGAACCAAGCACGTTAAACTCTGCAAAAGTAATCCCCTTCCCCCTGCACAGGCCACATCAGTGCTCAGGTTTACAACATGACCTCAGCAGATTCAGCAGAGAGGTGAGCAGGAACAAGCAGCCAAGAACGGAAGATATTTAACTGACACTGCCTCTGTATTCTGTTTTAGCGACTACACGATAAAATTGCAAAAGACTCACTGCTGATAAACTCAAAAATAATGGTGGAACAAGCAAGGTCAGGAGTGAGATAAAACAACTGCTGGTAATTTAGAGCCTCTCACCATGTGCCTTATTGTAACACTGCACAGGAATCTCAGGAAAACATGAACGTGGTGAATAACAACAGTCAGAAAGGCAAATTGTTCAGCGTTAGAAAAAAGAAAAACCTCTAAATGTCACTATGCCACTCTGTCAATCCATCTTATACACCCTTCCTGAATATGCACATCACTGACAAGTCGGGCTTTTTCCTAGAGCACGTCTATGTGGCCTGGCAAATGGATCCACCTCTGCACAGGCCTGCGACACAGCAACTCGCGGCTCAGCAGGACCTACAGCACCCAGCCACCGCGCTTTCCCCCCTCATCCACACCAGCCTCTTCCAACCTGCTCCGAGCCAGCACTGAGCAGACAACCACCCCTACCCCTCACCTGAACATGCTCCAGGAGGGGACAGCTTTTTCAAAGGCAATGTTATATGCGCAAGAATATAAAATAATATGCACACCCAAAGAAGGCACTATCTACTACTCTGTGTATAAGGTTCATAAACATGCTGGTATTTGAATGAAGTTGAGATTCCTAGGAAAAAGATAGCTAAGTGTCCATTAAATGAATACCTAAGAACTACAATGGTGTTTTTAAATAGTTCTATTACACAACAACTTAGGATCTTTCACCAAGCCTCCAATTAAGTCTCCCTAAAATTTGCGGTTTTAGTACAGCAGTGGAAAAGTCAGTTTTGCCAAAACCGGATTTTCTTTACCTAAAGAGGATGATAGCTAAATAAAGTTAATGAAAAATTAACTTTTGGTATTGAAGCAAATTGGCAGCATCAAAAACCTCACTGCCTGGGGCCTGTGTCCGCAAGTCATATGTAATCTTTGCCAAACTGCAAGGATTTTTACTGCTGTTTTTAATAACACTCAAAATTGTGCATCCTTCATCCCATGCTAAAGAAGGAGGGAGACAGCACCATGATGCACCTCTGCTTCAAGATCAGAAGCAGAACTCCACTCTTCCCAACACTGCTTAACCACAAAGGTATTTGTGGGGTGAGGGGGGAAGCAAGAACCTCTCATCCACTGCACAGCTATGACTTGTCTCTGGTTCAGCCTACTAAAAAGTCTTAGGAATTCACAGGGAAAACATGCTAGGAAAAAAGAGAGACTGAGAAAACCTGTGAGGAAAAAAAGAAGTGGTTTCAGTTATATCGTGTCCCTTCAATTAAAGCACAGCAGTAGTTAGCGGGAAGGGGCCATTTCCCTCAGCACATCTAAACGCTCCTTGCCCAATGCATCACTCAATGAGCAATTTTTCCCCTGGCCATAGTGCCAGTTTGACAAACCCATTGCTGCTTCTTTCCACCTACTCGTCTGTGCCAGTACATGGTCTGGGAGTCTGAGAGATAAAACCAAAGCTGGAATTGACCCAGGTCCAAAGATCCAGAGGGAAGGCAGGAGGTTACATTTAAACCAGACCAGCTCCAAGCTCAGTTCTCCTCGCAGCTTCAGCTGCTGTACCAGCCCAACAGAAAGGGTAGAGCCGAAGCGGGAACAGCGGTGTCGAATTAGGTCCTGTGGTACCTTAGGGATTGTACAAGGGCAGGATGACCCTAGTCGGACTGCAGCAGACGCAATTTAACGGTTGCCATGCTCAGTTGTCTCACAGCTACTTGCTTTAGGCCCTTGCCGGAGAGCACTGACCCCCTGGCTCTGCACATCCAGCGCAGAGAACAACGTTTTTAGCTACAACACATGGATTTCATTAACAATTAGGCTGGCAGAACTGAGGGGACAATAGCCACATACTCTGGGCTGTGCCCCTGGGCCTGGCCACTGCCCGGAGAGGCCACATGAGCACTCAGGCACGGGCCCAGACATCCCCACTGAGGGCACCTGAGTCCAGAGGCTGCATCCCCAGGCACGAAAGCTGCCATGGCTGGACTGGGCTGATCACAAGCCAGACTCGACCACCCGGAGTGTACTGAAGGTGAAGAGAAGAAGCGACCGAGAAATGAAGCGAAGCGAAGTGACCGACAGTCACCAACTTCGCAGGCTAGCTTTAGCTTCAGAAGCAAGACAACGTTCGGACTACAGACATGGCTGTGAAACCCTAATACTAGCAGCTGAAACACACTGGGGGATAATGGCAGAGCCCCTAAAGAGAAATCCCTTTAATAAGCACAGATGACAATAATTTTATTATTTAACATGTAAATTTTGTTCCAATTTTACAAATAAAACCTAGAATTAAACCTTGCTCAGCAGCCTTAAAGCTTGTCTTTTGCTGGAGAAGGAGGAACTGGGCTGAACTGAAAACCCTGGCTGTTCATCACCACAGAGAGTCTGAAATCAGCTGCTGGCAAAGGCATGTCAGAGGGACCTGTGCCCTGTGGAGAATTGGGCTTAAGAAGCATTTCCTACAAAGTTACAGAAGTAGCACAGAAACAGGCCTTGCATTTAGGAGAGACCTACTTTGTCACTATCCTCCCAGAAGTAAACTACTTCAGCATTTTAATTGACATTTTCATTTAACTATTTCCCATGTAGAATCCCCATTTTTCCCACACAGCGTGAATTAAATTGTATCCATGATACAATAAGGTAAACGCAATACAAAAACTCAGAAATCAGCATAATTAGTTCAGGTTAATTTAAGAAGGGAATAATTATACGCAACTACATTAAACATCTACCACACCTTATATTTGATGCCTCTACTATACATACACATTTATAGCATTAACACTAAGGCACTAATCAGACGCTCAGGCACTGAAGAACACAATTTAGCTGAAACAGTCTCCCAAAGGCCAGCAGATCCCTCATGGAGCTGTCCTCCTCAATTGTTAGAGAGAACTCAGTGCTAAAGGACTTACAGTTTCACGTACCCACTCTATTGATAAGCAGCAGCAACAGGCCCACAAGATAACTTCACAGTAGTACACTTGGATGATGCTGGTGTTACTAGACTTTGCCTTTGAGGCTTTGTTATTTCAGAATACTCTAAATTTTAGTTTTATTTGTTACATCACTGCTTCAGCAAATGCTTCCCAGGCTCTGGAAATGAAGTGGCCTCATTAAAAACTCAGTTTGGGTAAAGACCAAGATTTTAACTACGCAGAAGGAAATCAAGCTTCAAAACACACATTTAAACAGATATATAGAAGCACAATTCAGCAGAGCATTTAATTATGTAATTTTTCTGAACACAAATGGCACTAAAAACATGCTTAAAATTTTCTTAAAACACATGCTTACAACAAAAAGTTGTCCAAGTTTAAGATGCTCAAATGCCTACACTTCCACACTAAATGTAAGCACTTGGCAAGCATAGGGCAAGTCTTGAATTTTCCAAATTTGCCCAAAGTAGGGAGGTACACAGAAGCTACTATAAGCTGTCCTTAAAAAAGAATTTTCACTAGAGTGAAAAAAACCACCAAAAACCAAAATCCAAAACAGTTTGGTTTTGGTAGGATTTCTTTTGTTTGGTTGGTTTTGATTGTGGTTTTTGGGTTTGGCTGTTTTTTTTCGTTCTGGTTTTTTTTTTTAATGACAGTCAAGTTGAGGATGTCAATATCAGGTATAAAAAAAAAACAAAAACAAACCACAAACCATCCCCTCTCCAGTGAGTAAAAGTAGGATGAGTTACCTCCTTTTGTCGTCCAACAAATCTAACTCTTCTATAATCCTTTTCTTCATATACCTAAAGTATAAAATAAAACTTAATCTTATTTAAAAAGCATTGACCATAAACAAAGAACACAAAGGCTTACAGCACTGTTAAGACTAAATAGTTTACATCATTTCCTCAGTTTCAAGTACTGCCATCAAATATACTACAAGTATGTACTGCACGCAAAAAGTAATTTCCATTTCTCTCACACAGGAAAATAAATTTTAGGTCGGAAAGGAGAAAAGAAAGGGGAGGTGGGGTTTAAAGCCAGTAAATAGAAGCCTTAGCGCTGACCACAGAGGCACACATAACATTCATTAGTTATAATGCTGTTCCTTGATCCCACACTGCCATCTGGAAGGTGAACTAAACTAGAAAATTCAAGTTTCACATGTATTTGTGCTCGAGCCGAGTGACCGCAGCGAGAACCTTCCCACGTCAGCTCCACAGCCGTGCCTCTCCCACAGCCCCACCAGCCACTACAGAAGCCTCCCTCCTTCCCACGCTCAGTTTTTACATTAACGAACAGATAAAACGGAGTTAGCAAGGCACCGGCACAAGGGTACCTCCCACCTGTCAACTCCTCAGCTGTACCAGACCACAGCGCTCGGTAGCGGCTAATGACCCTCCTCCTAATTAAGTCTTTTTGTTTTTTGGTTTTTTTTTTTTGGTTTTTTTTTGTTTTTTTTTAAAACCGCGCGAACCTTTCCCTACGTATCACCCAAAGAGCATTAACTCCCACAGCACGTACTAAGCGAAGCAGCGCACCTGCGTGCCGCTCGCAGCGCCGGCAGCGTTTTCCCGCAGGCACCGGCACAGCGG